TTGTAATGATTTTGCAGTATATGCATATATCAAATCATTATGTCATCCACCTTAAATTTACTCAATGTTATATGTTAATTATATCTCAATAAAACTGGGGTAAAAAAGATCCATACATGCAGCCAATATGCATTGCAAATTGCTGTATTTCCAGGATCTAGCACACATCCTGGCATATACGAGTATTTAATACTTCTTCATTGAGAATGAAGTTTTAAATTATGCCATATCCTTATAAGGAAATTCATGTATCACTAATTGATGAATGTTAAGACTACATGGAAATATTTTAGTAAAAATACACAAAACATTTTAATACAAAACATAAAGATGTACATAGAATATGATCACATGCTTATATAATATATATATAAATTGCTTAAAATCAGTTATTTCTGATATTCTGCATTTTCTAGATGGTGCGTTTTATTTATTTATTTCTTATTATCTTGTATTTTGACAAGTTTCTACAATGAATTTGTAGGAGTTTTATTTTCAGAAAAAAAAATTTAACCATGTGGCCTATAGCTGCTTCAACTTAGGGGATTCCTTATTTTGATAAGTGGTCCCCTCCTCTCTTTTTTTTTTTTATTGTGGAAATCCTGATATACAGATTTTTCCTTTCACTTCCTCCCATAGGGGCACAAGGGGCCCTTCTCTTGATTTGTGGGATGGGCATTTGGTCTACACTTTGATGTGATGATTACAGTAACTTAGCGTTGAAATGTCCTGATAGGTTCCAGCCTCCTGTCCTCATCAAGAGTATTGGTGCATGCTGCTCCCTGTATTGGGGCCTTTGGGTTATATAACTAGGTCAACTGTCTCTCAAAACTAGATGATCTTCTAGAATGGCTGTCTTTGAAAGTCAAGTGTTATACTCTAAGCAATGTATTTGCAATATATATCTACATGTGGATAGATAGATAAAGGAGTAGATTCTTATCCTCTAGAATCTCAAGTCTGACTTTTATTGAAATAGGGATAGAGGTAGTTCCCAACAGTTTTCTTTGTAGTATTTCAGTGCAATTAATTGGAATCCTCAGGGGCAGAATGATGAAAAATAAACATTAAAGATGTTTATGTCCACTACAGATGTGACTGGGAAGAAATGTTAGATCTTGACAGCACACCACCATCAAATTAACTCCTGATTGAAGAAAACAAAATGTGATGAATATAAAAATGTAAAACGTAGAATGGAAAAACCTAAAGAGGTATCTGGGTTTATAATGAGATAGGTTTGAAACACTTGTTACATAAATTTGCTTCTAGGAATTCACTTAGTCCTTATTTCTAATCATTGAGAAAAATACAAAACTCTTTCCTGTAAGATTCGCTGAGTGAAAACAAACTGAAATGCACGTGTTAACTTGATCATAAAATCAATAAAATTAAAGGGTCTTCTTTTCTTTTGAAGACAGTTGGTTAGTATTTCTTTTAACTGTCACGAAAATAGGTATCACATAGGCTATCCCCTTTTGAGTATTAAATGAATAGCTAAGAATTTTTCAGTTTGGCAAAAAGAGATCTTAAAACAGTTTTAAAAACGAAGTCTGATTTATTAAACAAAACCCTTCAAGGGAAATCTCTAGGAGTAGGAGGAGACTTTCTCCCCTCATCTCACAGTACAATGTGGGAAGGGAAAGAACCGTACATCGAACTTGTGGTCGTGTGCCTGCGGTGAGACCATTTTGGTCTCCCACCCACGAAGGATGCTGGCTTAGCACTGGGCATGACAGGCTCTTCTTTGCAGCATTGAAGCAGGATACGGAGAAGTTCCTGGAGCCTTGAGAACATTATGTGAAGATAGATCATGATTTCTGCATTGGCCCAGCGAAGCAGAAAGCTCGGGAGCCAGCAGGAACTCCAGACCTTGTCCTTTTTTGTCACTGCTGATTTCTGAGCTTTGGATCAAGTCTAACAGGAGGAGAAACACAGTTAGTTGAATTCAATAAAATCTGACCTTGAACACTTAAATTCCACTGGACTTTTTAATACCTCAAATGAGATTCTTCCAATTCCCAGAAACTCAGTCTGAGCTATAATCACTGGGCAAAGAAGAAGGATTCTCTGCAGCTTGTTTGAAGATAGTGGTCAGAGACAAAAATGAAATTGCATCCTATTTACACTGCATTGAATCCGGTCGATTTAATAAACCCATTACCTCTGGTTACCTGTCTGCCCAGGTATAATTTGGGGTCCTCATTTGCCGTGTGTCCTTGTTTTAATTCCATCTCCCTGAGTATCACCTCTGAGGAGGGCGCCACCACCTTTATGGTGACATGCAGCTCATACCTCTTCAGCTGGGAACTGGCTCTGAGGAAGCACAATGGACATCTCCACTGGGCCCACCGCTGCTACTTTTTCCTTTGTTTTCTTCCATGCTCCTGGTCCTTACTGGTGCATTCAAGACCACTAGCTGCCAGCTGCACTGTTTGTTATACTACAGAGTGAAGAAGAATGGTTCTCAAACAACTCTTTCAAATCCTTATTTATAGCTTTATTCCCTTCCCCCTGCCTTGCCATGACTTAGGGAGTCCAGTGGATGTAGGACTGGGCCAGAAGATGAATCTTTGCAACCTGCATCAGGATGAATTTTGACTCACCTTGTCCTTTGAGGGCTCAGGCTGTGCAGCTCACCATCTTGTGTACTAGTTTTCTGTTGCTGCATAACAAATGACTACAACCTTAGCAGTATAAAACAACACACATTTATAGTTTCCATGAGTCAGGAGTGCAGGCATAACTTAGCTTTGTCCTCTGCTCAGGGTCTTACAGGGCTGCAGTCAGTCTCAATTGGGCATTCCCTTCTCTTGAGGCCAGACTGGAGAAGAATCTACTCTTAAGACTATTCATGTTGTGGGGGATTTCATTTCCTTCTGGTGTATAACTGAAAGCCCATCTTATTGACTGTTGTCTGGAGGCCGTCTCAGATCCTAAAGGCTTCCCACAATTCCCTGCTACATGGTTTTCTTCAATGTTCATAACACAGCTGTTTGCTTTTGCAAGATCACCAAGAGGATCTCTCCTTGCAGTCTGCTCAGCTGGACTCTTCCACAATGTAATGAAATCACAGACATGACATACATGACATTTACCATATTCTGTTGGTTAGAAGTGAGGCACATGTCTGTTCATGTTCAAGGGCAGGGGTCAACTCAAGGGTGTGATTTGCTGGGGCCAAGCCATCATAGAGTGTGTCTACCACATCCTGGTTCCCTCTCCCACCAGATGACTTCTTCCTGAGACTTCCCTATTACTTCATGCTCACACATTTCTAGAAGATCAGGCCTACCAGTTAGTTGGACATTCTAGATATTCCTTATTCCCTTACCCCACATCCACATAGCTGGCAAGGACTCTAAACTCTGCCTTTAAGATGCACCCCATTACTATCTCTTGTCAATATCTCCACCTCAGCCCTCTTACTCCAAGTACAATTAACTTTATTTGCATCTCTGACACACTAATGGTCTCCAGGCTTTCCTCTCCTAAAGCTTATTTCCCACCCTACAACTAGAGTAATCCTTTAAAAAGTAATTAATCAAATTACGTTGTTCTTGTACCTTGAACTCTACTCTGGCTATGCCAAAAATCTGAACTCCACACCAGAGTTTACATGGTTCTACTTATCCCTTGTCCCTAATTCTGACTTCACGTCCTCTCCTTCCCCCCACCCAGGAAGGTGAGGTCCACAAAGTCTGGGACTTTATCTTTTTCTCTGTTGTATTTTTAGTGCCTAGAATAGCACCCAGAAGATTTAAGAAATCCTTGAGTTGAGAATTCATTATCTCAAAAATGGAGAAGTGAAGGTTCTTGGTTCAAAGAACAGAGTAAGTTCGTAACAGTTGGTTCCCGGCTAGAGTAGGAACTATCATGAGCTGAGAGGGCCACCTGACGAAGGATATCATTAGGGCATGGGGGCCACCAGTTAGCATGATACTTTCACAACCTACCTGAGCTGAGGCATCCATCAGCCTTTAGCTCATGATAGAATCCGGTGTAGGAACTTGCCTTCTCCTATGAGCCCTACTTCTTAGTCCCTATGAATCGTGGATGGAAAACCAGTGGATTTAGGGTAGTAATTGAATTCCCTTGGACTTAGCTCCTACACAAATTTATGCATGGAGTTTTTTAGATGAGGTTTCCAGCCTCTGATACCAGGCAAAAAGTCAGACCCTAAGGGTTTTGACTTTGACTTATAGTCTGAGAACCTTGATTTAAATCTTCATTTGGGTTCTGATCCTCCTGTGTTGCACCAAATTCAGGAATAACTCCTCCCAGAGAGAGTCCCTCCTCTTTCTCCATGACCACGGCACACACTGCTAATAATCAACACACTTTTCCCCCCAGATAATCTCCAGTGCCACGTCTCAGGCCATCTCAAATACGCTTCAAGTGACAGTGGGTTGGTACTCAGGATGACAACAATTTGGCATTCTTACTTTAGGGAACAGGAGACCTCACCTTCAAAGTGTTAACCCTGTTTTTACTTTGTATCCTAAAGAAATGTGGTTAGACTTCTTTACAATTTTAAATCCTCAAGGTCCCTGCTTGCGTCTTCAGTAAAGCTTCCTCTAGACCAAGGATGGGAAAGGCATTCACTCTAAGTTGCAGATTCTGATCAGCTATTAGTGGTTACTGGATTAGTGGTTACTTGAGAGCACCAAGGTCGTATCTGGGCTCAGGGAAAAAGTATGTTTTGGTCAAGGATGAAAGCTATTAGGGGCTCCCACACTTTTACTTGTTCTTTTCCCAAACCACCTTCCTTAGCATGAGGTTGACACCACCATGCCTGAGAGCTTCTTGGGCTCATGGCCCAGCGTCTCTGAATTCACCGACTCCCTGTTTCTCAGAAGCAACAGAGACAGCCTGTGAAACTCACTTCTGCCATTTTAAAAGGACACAACCTCATTTCCTGGCCCAGACAACTTTAAAACCCATACAGGACACCCGGTGTTTTATTTTAATTTAATTCCCCCTTCTTTGGTTTCTGGCAGCACAAGGCAGAAGATCAGGGGCACAGAGTGAGACATGAGCCGTCGGAAGCTGCCCTGCCTTTTCCCCTTCACAGGATACCCGGAGACACCATGTGGTGTGAGGCATTCATTTGCAGGTATAGAATCTATAAAATTGCATTCTAAAATTAAAAAATTTTAATTAGAAGGCAGCATCTGTGAACCTTTTGCTGGAAGCCACTGCTTTTTTTCTGATAAATGTTCCCAGCTCTGTGGCCCCTTATCCCCCTCCCATCATGTCAGGGATTGTAAAGGCGTTCCTTCCATTGCAATACTCCTGTAGCAGTCAGATGGAGATTGCTCTGCTTAATATTTAACAAGCTACTAATGCCTCCTGGAAAACTCTGAAAAATATTTAATTTAGACCTACTTCTTCCTCCATAGATTCTTTTGGCTGCCCTGTATCCCTCTCGATCTCTTATTTCTGGAAACTGTGAATCGATGCTGGATATGGCCTTCAGAGTGCATCAGTTTAATCCCTACCTGATGCCATCCTCAGCTGTTTAAAACAATATAATCCACCCCAGAAGCCAATTTGGGAAGCCCTGGGTAAGGAATTTTTTTATTTCAAGTGGAGCTATTTCATCAGATACAAAAAAAATTAGCAAAATAATCCTGTAATTCTTCCTAGCAACAATGGTCTTATGCTCTCTTTCTGTGAGCTGAGCTGGGCAGGAGCTGGACAGGGCCAGCTGTGAGGCAGCACCGAGACACCAGAGGTGTCAGAGGATCTGAGCAACCTGGGTTCATGGTCAGGAGGTCATGCAGATGGAGGGCTAATAAATGCAGCGGGCTGTCAGGGTTAGGACCCAGTGGTGTGTTGAAGCAGAAAGAAGCAGGTGGGGAGCTGGATGTGAAACCAGTGGGGTCTGAATCTGTGAAATGAACTGAGAGGGAAAAGAAGAGGTGGATCCTGAGATTCTAGTTCTGAGGCCAATGATGAGAGATGATAAGGCAACAGACATGAAAGTCATAAAACTGGACTAGAGGAAGCCTAAGGATCAAGGAGCAGAACACATAGACTGGAAAATGTGGGTAGCAAGGCTTTGTGAACATAGCTAAGTAGGTGTTATGGGTTGAATTGTATCCCCCCCCCAAAAAAAAATTCTGACACTCAGTACCTGTGAATTTGACCTTATTTGGGAAGAGGGTCTTGGCAGATAATCAAATCCAATATGACTGTGTCCTTATAAAAACAGGGAATTTGGACACAGAGACAGATACTGGGACAATGCCGTGGGAAGAGGAAGGCATCGAGTGGGGCGATGCATCTAGAAGCCAAGGATTTCCAAACAGATAGCCGGCACATCAGAAGCTGGGAGGGAAGCATAGACTTGATTCCCCCTTCCAGCCAGAAGGAACCCAGCACACTAACATTTTGAAGTTGTACTTCGGGCGTTTCTGCTCAATGAGTCAATACATTCCTGCTGTTTGAGCCATTTAGTCTGTGGGACTTTGCTGCAGCGGCCCTAGCAAATCAACACAGTGTGTGTCCCACCCATGAGGCAGATAGGGACACTCTCTTGACATTCAGCCTCCCTTCTGCCTTAGTAAAAGTATCTCGACTTTTAACTGGTTAATCGCCACTTGAAGAAATGGCCTTCTTTGCAGTGGACTGTGTTAATAAAATAGGGGACTATGGAAAGATGTCTTAAAAGAAAGGGAGAAAGGGAACAGTGTAGGGTTTCTTTTCTTTAACTTCAGCTTTATGGAGGTATAATTGACCATTTCTTTTTTTCCTGTGTTTAGCCTTCTCTGCTTCCTAATTCTCTGGAACTCAATGCAAGTACTTGCTTGATACTAGGGCTCCAGGAGCCATGGAAGCCAGCGCTAGAAAGTGGGGCTGTGAGATGGAAGGGTCGTCTGCTGCTCATGGAACTGCCATCTGTACCCTGTACGACCTCCCTCCACTCTTCTTTGGTGTAAGAAGTAAATAAATCCCCATCTAATTAAAGAGGAGTTTACTGTGATGAGATGTGTAAGGTGTCCCTCAATGATGCACGGCAACTGTACACATGAGAAGACTTGCAGTCAGGGAAGTGATGTGACCCGCCCATGACCTTAGTGCTTGGCAGAAGCCAGAATCCAAGTTCATGTTTTCTCCCACATTTCAGCCCTTATCCAAGGATGGTCCACGTGCCCCTGTTTAGAATCACCAAGAATGCTGGTTAAAAACACCAATGTGTGTTTGTGTTTAGCCCTTCTGAATTTCAGGCTCTGGAATTGGAACTTGGCATCTTAATCAGCAACTAAGTGGATTCTTAAGCACACCGAAGATAAAAATCTCCCCTAATTCAAGCCACTCCATACTCGGGTTCTGAATCTCGGAAGTAGATTGGAGGGCCTAAAAACAACAGTGGCATATTCCCCATTCTCACTTTGAAAGCCCACCGGCCTGAGGATACTGCAGGAGTGAGGGGACAGGAAGCAGAGCCATCTCTCAGAGTTGTGTTAGAGGATGTGAGTTAGGGGACTCCCGTGTTTCCTTGAGAATGCAGGGTAGAGCAGAGAAGGATGGCTAAAGCAATCACAGGATAGTCTTCCACACATTATGGACATTGGGTCAGAGGGGGACATGTGTCACCCTTCCCTTTATTGCTGCTCCTACCCGATCATTCTCCATCCATCCCCCCCAAACCTCTGGTTTTTGAGCATCCATCTGCCTGCCTGTTCTTCCTTCTCTTCTTCCCCATTTCAAACCTTACTATCCATCTTGTCTCTTCTTCATCAGTGAAACTTTGACAACTGGTCTTCAGTCTCCCTTTCCACCTCAGCTCCTTCCCATTAACCAGTGAAATGTCTGGCCTCTCATCCTCGACCTTATTTTGTCCAGTGATGTTCCCATCATCCCCACCTAGCCATACACTTCTGCTCTCACACCCTGATCCTTTTTAGCAGAGAATGCACCATTTCTGAAATCACTAAAGGAAACAGCGAATACTCCCAAGGTATCCATCCCTTTACTCTCCAAGCTTTTTTGCCCAAGTACCTCTACTTCAGTATGTCATCGAAACTGAGTTTCAATTTTGATCCCTCCCCATTCTCTCCATATTCAGTTTACATGCATCTGGCTTAGGGCACCTGCTCCATCGAGGCAAGCATTTTTTCTTTCTTTGCAAATGTGCACCTTTCTTGGCTCTCCGTCTATTCATCATGAACAAAACCCCAATCCAGAGCGAACCCAGTCACTCTCATTCTCCATCTCACTTCCTTCTTAATCTTAAGGCCTACTGGGGACAAAAAAAAATCACACAATTAGGCAGAGTCATTATGAATTCATAATCTTTTCATCACTTGTCTCAGCTGGGCTCCCATTAAAGTCTAGCAAACATTCTATTTCTCTCATCAGCATGTCCCTCACTGTCCCATCAAAGCAAGATCCATCTGTCCATGTCCTGGCTCCCAGAAATTGCACTACCTTATTATTTGAATTTCTCCAATGTCTTAATCATTTTGCCCACTTGTACATCCTTCCAACAGCATATATGCTTGCTTGATACTCTCTCATCTTTGAGAAACAAAAACACATATGAATGTACAACCTTTCTTTGGACTCCGCAACTCAAGCTACCACCATTTCCCTTTACTCACTTTCAGGCCCATGGTTCTCAAGAGCTTTGTATACATGCTCCCTCCACATAAATGCCCCCCAGTCTCTTCTGAGATCTGCTTCTACCCCTCCCCCTGCACCAAAACTGCTGGGACTGAAGTTCTTGGTTCTCTTCCCGTTCTTGAATCCGATCATGGGACCACATAACCACCCTCATTTTATGCTGGATATGGGTTACTGCATTTGTGCTTGTGTGGCTCTTTTTCATGTCTAAATTCAGGGTCCAGGCAGATAGGCAGCCCCTATCTGGATAATGCCCTGGGATAAACCATTCTCATGGCAAGAGACAAATGACTGAAGTCACTTATGTCTACTATTGGGACGTGGCATAGATTAAGTCTGCTTACACTACATTAGCCAAACTAAATCACACGCACAGTCCAGTCCAACATCAATGGAGGGGACCATGTTCCTGTGGTAGTACCCTAAGAGACATATGGAGACAGGCAAGAATGTATAATTCTCTTACAAGAAAGGTTAGGAAGATATATGGAGACAGTGCTACAATCTGTCATAGTGATTTGAACCCCTTACTCATCCCTGTTCTCTATTCCATCACATATGTTGGTCTCACCTCTGTACCTTCTTGAACCTTATGTGAAGACATTCCAACACAGTAAATTGCTAATTAGGTCCGTCTGACTGTGTGCCATTTCCATCCTGTAGGTGCTTATTCTTGGTTACTTCCTCTATGCTTTTTTGTTTTTCTAGTCCTCGTATTATACATTGACGAATTAAGGGGAAGAGAAAAAACATCATTGACTGAATGCATTCTGTGACTATAACTCTGTGGAGTCCTCCCTACTGTAGTATGTCTTCTTCCTCTTATTTGCTCCATAGTGTATATGTCAGAGTGACTATTAAAATAACCTATGCCTTTCTCTTTCCCTGTGAATATCCTACTTCAGTGTAAAAGCAGGTCTTTGGCTATATGATAATGCTCCAAGCCATGTGACTTGATCTCCTTCAGTTGTCTTGTTATCTCCAAATATTAATTTATATTCCCTCTCTTACTCTCCCTCATCCTTCCGCAGCACAAGAAGAAATGTTCCTTTCTCTGGAAGAATCCAATTCTTCTCCCTTTGTGCACATTTGTGACAATATTATAACCTTATCGTATTCCATTTAATACCATTTACTGAGACTGCCTTAATGACTGGTATATGGAAAATACAAATAAATAATGTGACTTTATTTTCCCAGAGACAACTGGGGTTACATATGTGTCAAATAGAACATAATAGATAGGGATTTATTCCTCCATTAGCTTTTTAGGTTTGCTTATCTTTCAGAGTAATTTAAATTGAAATGGAAGACAAATCCTTATTTGATTGTTAGGCAATTCGGTGCTATTTATTTTGTGTAAGTTGGTGTGGGATCTAAGTGCACTGTTGTTAAAAGGCTATTTAATGTCACATAGAGGGCCTATTAATTTTTTCAATAGATTTCCAGCATGTCTGGCCAATTGCATACATTTAATAAGGAAAGTCTGCTCTTCTAAAAGTCTGTCTCCATACTTTGTGGTAATGGTGCTATAGTTTATGTGCTGTTGCACATAGTAAGAGGCACTGACTTTGTTATCAAAAGTATGGAGATAAATCTCACAGTAAATGTGCTGTTCTGTTAGATGGTCAAAAGAATAATTTTGAGCTTACAGTATTACAGCTTACAGTCAAGAGCATTAGAGCATAGTGGGGATTTTTTTTAAATCTGCATGATTTGCTTTGTATTAATAATGATATGATAAAAAATATAAGTGGCATTTGTGATTTAAAATGAAATGGCAGAGTTAAAACGATAGCTTCCTTTTTTACTTTCTATTTATCAGAAGAATGTTGCTACAAAGCATGAAAATTTTGGCAAAATATATGTTGTGAAATAACAACCAGAAAGTAAAAATGAACTTGTGAATAATAGGTGATGGTGAAATTGTGGTCTTTTTAATTTTTAAAAAGCACTTTAAGAAAGGATATAGGTGTTCAGGGAAGATATAGAGAGGTAACAGAAAGTGGTAAAACACTGCGCTGGAAAATCTTGGAGGTCACATGAGAAAAGGAAAATACAGAAATGAAGTCCACATTGCCAAGAACATAAAAGAAAACCTTGTTGAAAATACAAGATGAGGACAGATTGAAATAAGCAAAATAAAAAAATTTTACAAAAAGTTAAAAAGACTAAAGAGAAAGTAAGTATAAACAAAGAATAAAGATTCAGCCCATATATTATCAATATTTCCAAAAAAGAAGGCTGAATTGATAGAACATAAAAACTGTTTAAACAAATAATTTTTTTAAATTCTAAAATTACGTTAACACTTGAATCTATAGATTGAAGAAGTAAATGCCTGGGAGGGATTTTAGTGTCCAGGAAAAACATTAACACAAAACAACTCACCAATATTACATAGAACTAATAAAGTTACTGCACTTCAAAGATAAAAAAATATCCTTTGGAAATCCAAGTAAACATATCCAATCCCTAAAAAAAGAGAAAAAAATCAAGACTTGCCTAAGAGTTTTTGCTTTTTCTCTCTTTCTTCCTCCTTACTCCTCTTTTCTCATATTGGAAATATAAACAGGATTATACCATGAATATGTGTGCATGTGCATTTGTGTATTTATGCATGTGTGTGTATATATACAAAAATATATTCCTAGCATATATGTATATATTTATGGCATAAAAGATTGCAGCAGTGATTACAATAATTGCAAGGGGAAAAATAGGGTGACCCCAGAATTTTATACCCAATGAAAATACTATTACCATATAAATACAATATATAAACACTTTCAAACATGCACGAATCCAGGAAATAGAGTTACCATGAGCTAATCTTTAGAAAAAATTTTAGATTTCATGTAGAAAAAATAAACAATTTCCAGGAAAAATTGTAAAAAGAACTTAATGATGGTGAACTAGCCATACTAGATACCATACAAATTATAAAAAATCACAGCAATTAGGACAGTGTGGAGAATCAAAATCTAAGAATAGCTCAAATGCATATAGGAATTTTATATATAATGAAAGGTAAATTAGTGAGCAAAATACAAACCACTGAGTAACGAGTGTATGCTGACCTAGATTAAAAGGAAAAATATGGGTCTGTATCTCACATTTTACACCATGATAAATTCTAGATTCATAAATGTTTACAAGGAAATATTAAAACCATGAAATACTATAAACAATATGGGGGAATTTATTTTTATAAGAATATAACATGGAAGATTTTGCTAAGAATCATAAAATCCCAGAATTCAGAAAGAAGATAAATTCAAATTGTCAAGGATCAAAAAATTGCTACACGGCAAACAAAAAAAGGCCAGAAAGTGA